TGGGTTTTCACCGTCATGGCCAGGCTGGTCTTGAACTCCTGACCTCAGGTGATCCACCCACCTTGGCCTCCCAAAGTGCTAGGATGACAGGCATGAGCCATCACGCCTGGCCCTTTTTATCCTTTTTTTAAAAAAATGGGCTTGTGTCTCGACCGGGGCGCTGGGAACAGGGGTGTGCCCGGTTTGTGAGGGGTTATCAGGCTGTTCACTTGTGACCCGGGAACCTTCCACCGGTAGCCGATGTCACCATAAAAGGTTAAACATTAGGCGGAGCGTGGCGGCTGACACCTGTAATCCTTTAGGTGGCTCAGGCGGGAGGATTGCTGGAGCCCAGGAGTCTCTAAAAAAATAAAACAATGAAAAAGTTAAAGATTAAAAATGCACTTGCCCCTCCCAAAAACCTGTGACTCCAGCCGGCCAGGCGCGGTCGCCTGTAATCCCAGCACCTTGGGAGGCTGAGGTGGGTGGATCACTTGAGGGTGGAATTCACGACCAGCCTGGCCAACATGGTGAAGCCCAGTTGCTACCAAAAAACACAAAAAATAAGCCAGGCGTGGTGGTGCACATCTGTAACCCCACTGACTAGGGAGGCTGAGGCAGGAGAATTGCTTGAGCCCAGGAGGTACGCAGATTGCAGTGATCCAAAGATTTGCTATTGCACTCCGGCCTGGGCCAGTGAGACTATCTCAAAAAATAAAAAAGGAAAGAGGCCGGGCGTGGCGGCTCTCGCCGGTAATCCCAGCACTTTGGGAGGCCGAGGAGGCCGGAACGAGGTCAGGAGTTCAAGACCAGAAGGACCAACATGGCGAAACCCGTCTCTATTAAAAAAATACAAAAATTAGCGGGACGTGGTGGCGCGTGCCTGTAATCCCAGCTATTTCGGAGGCTGAGGTGGGAGAATCGCTGGAACCGGGACCAGGGAGGCGGAAGTTGCAGGGAGCTGAGCTCACGCCACTGTATTCCAGCCTGGGCTACAGAGCGAGACTCCATCTCAAAAAAAAAAAAAAAAAGAAAGAAAGAAAGGCATTAAGTAGGCCGAGTGTGGTGGCTCATGCCCGTAATCCCAGCACTCTGGGAGGCCGAGGGGGCCGATCACCTGAGGTCAGGAGTTCCAGACCCGCCTGGCCCACATAGAAACCTGTTTTTCTGTTAAAGTCTCTACTAAAATCCAGACAAAATTAGCTGGGCGTGGTGATGCCTGTCTGTGATCCCAGCTACTCAGATGGCTGAGACACAAGAATTGCTTGAACCCAGGAGGTGGAGGTTGCAGTGAGCCGAGATCTCCTGCGATTTCACTCCAGCCTGGGTCCCAGAATGAGACTCCTCAAAA